TCTCACAAACTCGAATTCTCCCTTCAGAACCATTTCTGTGCTGTCTATAAGTGGTAGGAACATAGATACTTATGCTTTCACACATGAAGGTTGAATATCAGAAACTTTACTGGAATATCAAGCTCAAGGGTTGGTCCATCTAGCACAGTATTGCCGCCTCTAACTGGGAGCGGCAGCTGTCCAGGGTCTCAGGCAGAGATAAGTATTTGGGGGCACCTGCTATTCAAGATCCTTTAGCTGGAGATGCTAGAGATTTGAACCTGGGTCGAGGGCAGGTAACATACTTGCTCTGCCCCAGGCCACAGTTCGTATATCCCTGAAATATCTACCCAATCGAGTCCTCATAGACACCCACGCCGCTTTAATATGATGGCACTCTCCTCCGCTACGGATGTCCAGTCATTTGGGGGACTGTAGCTATGCTTGGCTTTCTGCCAGCGTGCAGGAGGAGCACTTCCGCAAGCCACAAGTACTTGTGTAACATTGGGTAAGCATTTATGCAACCCGTGTGCCTCTGGCTCCCACTGAGTGGCGTTAACACAATTTCAACGTACTTATTTCCTGCTTCGGAGTGAGGCTAATAATTCCCTTGCGAGCTGACACAGCTGGAGATGGAAATGTCTTCGCCACCTGCAGTTAGTCATGTTCTGCGCAGCTCGGTTACTTTGGTGATTCACTAGCTTGGACTTGTGTTTTTTGTTTCCAAAAGTCAATCCCCGAGCCCCATAAGACCTAAATAAACTTGGAGCGGGAGCCGAGGCAAAGAAGCAGAAGCAGCTCCAGCCCCACTGAGGAAAGAAAACGGCAGCGTGCTGGGAATATTTCCTGCAAAAGCAGGGGCAGGCAGTCTTGCACTGCAGCGCCACTAGCTCGAGGAGTTAAATGTTTGCGCTTGACTGTTGAACTGGTAAATTTCAATAGCAGGAGACACTTGGTGATTAATCCAAGCTTTGTTTTATGACATGCTGATAGCAAGAAGGCGGTTTAACTGTGGCGCTCAAGTGTGACCATTTGAGAGCAACGCCATGTTGGATAACTGGCAGGTGATGGCTGCAAACTGTGGCTTGTCCATACAGGAGGCACCATGACTGTCTGACACGCAAACAGTATTCCCCTCAGAAAGCTAGTGTATTGGAGACTTCTTGATATTCTCCTGGTCTTCCGTGTACAGAGAGTGCTGTCAGGAAGAGCATTCCACTGTTTTGTGTTTGGCTGCCTGCATTCTGTGCTGCTACAGTCCAGGAACTGTCTTGCTGCCTCGCCTGTTGTTTGTGTAAATGAGGCCCGTTTTGAAAGACTCTGATGTAGCTTAATGGATCCCCACTGAAAGGGCACATACATGTGTTTGGGAGGCCAGATGGGGTTGGGTGGGCAGGGTGTGTGTGTGGGGGGGGGACACAAGTAATGGTAAGAGCGGGGTGGGTGTTTTGTGTTAGCTGAGCTTTCCTCAGCTGCAAAGCTGTTCACTGCCACACACACCCCCCCCCCAGCAGTTGCTTTGCAGACAGTTGTTTGAGTGCTCTGAATCCTCTGGAGTAACTGGGTACAGGCAGTCTTCTGAATCAAAGTCTCCACATACTCTCATTCTACTTTTGGGGTCTCTTGTTGCCTGTGAATCAGTAAGTTGGGGGTCTCCAGCTGGGCCATAGTAAGCTGCCGTTCAGCAGTATAACTACAGGTACACACACAGGGTCATTTCAACACAGCCATTGCCCCTGAATACACTCTTTGCTTTGTGTTCACAATCAGTGTGGCTAGATTCTTCAGCCACCTCCCTCCACTAGAGTTTCTGCATTAGTGATTTTAAAAAAAGATGTTCTTCTAATTTGGGACTGTGTGAGGTTGTGTGATTCTGTGTGTGTGTGTGTGTGTGTGTTTCCAGACATTTAAAGCTAGGGGTGTGCAAAAAAAAATTATGCCGGTATCTTTCAATTGGGTAAATCAGACCCGAAAAATATCGGTGAATGCCAAATTTCCCCAGTAAGATAACGGTAAAGTATTTGGATTGGGGTGATATTCGGTATTCCCGAATATATTCCACCACCAGATTTACACCACCAGAGGAAAAGGAGGCATGTTAAAATGCCTTCTTTCCCTCTGGTAGCCAGTAGAGATTTCCATGTCAATTTCACTCCAGTCAGCTGGGAGTGAAATTGACTAGGGAAAGCCATGGCTCTCTGCCTTCCCTTCTCCAGCTGACTGATGGTAGCCGGAGAAGGGCAGGCAGGGAAACTAGGCATGTTTAAAATGCCTTTCTCTCCCCGAGATTGGGGAGGGAAAGAAAGGCATTTAAACATGCCATCCCCCCACTTCTCCGAGCTTCTCCACAATAGCGGAGAGGCTCAGGGAAGGAAGAGGGCATGTTTGCATGCCTGAGTTCCCTGCCTGATCTTCTCCAGGTGCCTCGCGGCTGTGGGGCACCTGGAGAAGATCAGGCAGGGAACCAGGCATGTTTAAAATGCCTTTCTTTCCTTCCCCCACATCAGGGAGGTAAAGAAAGGCATTTAAACCGAACAGCTGGCTGGCGGCTCAGGCGGCTGTTAGGTTTTTTGATATAGCAAAATGAACCCGAAAAAACCCGGATAATTACGGCTTTTTTGGCTTCAGCTATACTGGTAGCCGAATACAGATCTCTGATTTGTATTCGGCTTATGCGATACCCCAAAAATACTGACAAGTTATTTTTCAGGAATTTTTTTGGTTCGGCTAAAGCCGAATGCACACCCCTGTTTAAAGTTTTATTTTTGTATCTTGAGCCATGGGAAAGAACTTTAAAATCTAAATGGACATCGGGGAAGTTCAGGGTTTGAACATAGTGGTATAATAAGTCAGGGATGCCAGCAAGTTCTGGAGTACCATGTCTTAGAAACACATCTGGTACATTGAGTCTCCTACTATCTGAGGGAATTTGAGTAGAGATTCTAGCGATCAAATCTATGCGGTTAATCCTACCATGGTGTTGATTCCCATTCCTGGATTACAGGATGCTTTTCTAAAGTGGACAGGTATGGTTTTGGGAGAGGAAAGAGACCCCCATAATCTAGTTTATTTAGAGTCATGAAAACTTTATGTCATTAATTGTCCCAGTATTGAAAAGGTTATCTTAATCAGCTAAATTCACCTGCCAGACCAACGTTCTCAATCATTTTAAACTGGGGAGGGGTGAGTGGGTGTCTTCTAAGCCATTCTAACTTCTGCCCCTTACCTGTCCAGAATGTGTGTGTGTGTGTGTGTGTGTGTGTGTGTATATACATATGTACACAGTTGCAGCTGAGCATTTGCACACTAGTGAAGAGGGATATTGAAATGCTTATACCTTTATTTTTCAGTACTTGTTGACAACATTAAACAGCAACAACCCCCGAACATCAACAGTGATACTCATGTATCTGTCATGCTCAGTTTTATTTAAGGGCTTTAATTTTACAGACCCACCTGGCAGGAAAAGGGGCAGGATAGGGAACCAGGCTAAGGGGGACTGGTATCGATGCCCTCCTAGTGAATGTGCCCCCCCCCAACTTCAAGAGGGCCATCCCAGAGTTTGCAGACCTATGTTCCAATGCTAGATTATTTCTCTTCCCTTGAATAGAGAGCATGGTGGATCAGTGCAGCAGGTTTTTTTAATCAGCTTGCCTGTATCTTGCAAGCTGGTTTGAATAACTGTATCTGGCAGGCTGTTTGCCGAGAAACAGAATTTTCCCCGGGGGAAGCGGCAAGCTTCAGAACTGCTATAGCAATATTTTGGTTGAGAGAGATCTTTGATTCTGTTTCCTAATGGTAAAACACTAAGAGAAAGCTTCCATTCTATTAGAAACAGTGCCCAATATTTAAACAAGTGGCTCTTCCCTCCCTCTTTCAGAAGCTGTTGCTCATCTGCAACAAGGGGAACGTTCTGTGGCTAGACTTTAGCAATCCAGCGTGGGCTAATTTGCCTCCTGTGGAAGAAGCAAAAGCAACTAAAAATAGTGCCAATTATTCACCGCACAACTGACTTCTGAGATTGCGGGGCCGTCTTTTTGAAATGACACGTGCATTCTGAAAAGGGCAGATATGGGCACTTGAAGATGGAGGCTTTGAAGGTCAGAAGTACTGCCTACTTAACAGTGTAATTGATGATTTTTTAAAAAAATTGCCAGCCTTTGAAAGGGCTGTGATTAGAATATTTGAAGAGACAACCACCCTGTGAAACTGGAGGAAGAACTAAACCGGTTCTTGGTCTCTTTCCATTTTCTTGGCTAGCTCAGGAAACAACCAAGGAGTGCTCTTAGTGCCTGTAGTTTGTTGAGGTTCCCTTTCGTGCCAATTTATGTTGGGATTAGGCTGTAAAAGTCGAAGCTTTAGAATTCAGGTCTGAATAATCGGAGCAATCTAATCACTTCATCGGTAATGATCAACAAATTAAAGTAAATTTATTTACCAGAGTTCTGGCGTAGGGTTATATTTGTATTGTATATTCTAGGATAATACTTGGTCTTTGTGAGCCCCCATAATGATGGAATTATGAGAATCTCGCCTTGGAAGGGATGCCACCACTGGAATAAGCCCCACAGATGCTAGGGGGAGTGGATACAGCACCTCAGAACGTAACCTTGGAAGGTTTGTAGGCCTATTGGGGAGGAGATATTTTTAACAGATCCTGGTTCCAGGTCGCCTGGGGATTTTAAAGATGAATAGTTAGTGAACTCCGTATTTTTACCCAGTTTCAGGTGGGCGTATATACGAGTGGTGAATCTGGATTTTTACATAATATCCAGTGCTTCATGAGGCATAAGAGTTTTGAACTGGGAGTGGACCCAGCTGGAAGCCAACAAAGATGGCCGTTGTTATGAAGCGATGTACAACGAGCTGCGTTTGCTAGCCTGTTACAGCTGTAAACCTCCCACATTCATTTTCCTCAAATGTTGTTAAGTGGTGTACTTTTTGGGGTAATTTCGGGCATGAAGATAGTGAATCCAGGCTAATTACACATCTCCCTCCCCCCTTCTTTTTTTGTCTTTCAGCAAACGTGGCTTCAGCGTTCGATCCTTTGGCACTGGGACTCATGTGAAACTGCCAGGACCTGCTCCGGACAAGCCAAACGTTTACGATTTCAAAACGACATACGATCAGATGTACAGTGATCTCCTTAGGAAAGACAAAGAACTGTATCCCTGCAGAATGCCCCTTTCAAAACCCCGCTGCTGCTCACCTTTGCGAAAGGTGTCTGTCGTCCATTTCCATAAGGAACATGCTGCTACTTGACTGTGGCAAGATCTTGGTATTTAACAGGTCTAGGCAGGGGCTTCAGATGCTGGAAGGGCTCTTAATGCTCCTGTTGATTGCTTCCCCTCCGTTTGAGTAGCGGTGCATGGGTCAGAATCGGTCAGAATCCTTAGGGGCAGATTAACGCCTCTTTCTCAGGATGCGTTTGTACTTCCATACTCTGAGTAACTGCATTGGATCTGCCCCCAAATTGGCGGCTCCACCGTAAATTGCCCTGAAATAATGAAATCACTGCTGCATGCTTGCAGCCACTTGATTTGACTCATGGTTTCAGATTGGTATGCGAGTCCTCTACTCAGGGTTATTCCCCCCCACCCCCAAGCTTCCTTCCTCTTACTAATTCTTCTTTTTGGCTTTCTTTTCTTCTCAGTCTCCCTGCTCCTGTGCGTAGCCACTGCTTTCCCAGACCTGTCCAGTTTCTGAGGCCATCTTTTAAGGTGTTCTGGCAGTTCTGCCTCACTAGGTTCTGAGCCGATGGCATCCAAAAACTCTTCTTCCCGTTCCATCTTTCTGTTCCTTCAAGGAAACTCAGGCCAGACCCCCTTAATGGTTTTATGCTACAGAGAAAACTGCTTCCTGTTTCTCCTCTCTCAACCTGCCTCCTTGGACTCTTTTCTAAGACCCCCCCCCCCCCAGTGCTCTGAGGTAGTGACTCAACCTTTTGATGGTGGAGCGTGGGGCATTTTCTGTGGCAGTTACTGTAGTGAAATGGTGGTGCAGATTCATCCTTAGAAACAGCTGAGTACGTCTGGCACCTTCCTCCATATCATTCCAGCGTACCATCCCTTGCCCAGTGCAAAGATCATTCTTTGCTGCGGGCAAGGCTGTGGATTGCCCCAAAGTGCGATGTAGTTCCAGAAGGAAGCAGGTAAGAATTAAAAAAAAAAATGAGGTCCTCCTGTGTCATGTCTACGAGGGAAATGTGCTCTTAGCTCTGACCGCGCCTTTTGGAGCAGTTAAAAATGCATCCTTTGAAGACCAGAGTTGCCGAGAATCACACACTCACCTGTATTCGCCACTCAGGGTATAGACTCAATATCATGAGTGCGTCGTTATTTTCCAGAATCCAGGGATTTTCTGTGGGCTTTTTGTTTTTTGCACAGGATTTAAAAGTCTGGCAAATTTGCACAGAATATAAGTCTGCTATCTATTCTTGCTGACCTGGTCCCTTTTTGTGAGATTTAACATGGGTGCCAACATCTTTTGAAGAGGGCACGTGGTCTAATAATGTGCAGCCTTCTCTTGCCTAGCTCTCAAAGCAAAACCAAAACTACATTTGGGGGGAGAGGAAGCTTAAATTGCCCACAGCTCCGAGTCTGTGCTGAACAAACATTGTGAAAATTTTGCAAACGTCAGTTATTGTAGCTCAAAACTTTTTTGTGGACTGGAATAGAAAGTTAAATTTTCCGGTCTTTTAGCGGCAACAGAATGCGCATAGGGAAAAAAAGATCCAGTGCTTTGCTGTCTGGAGCAAGGGCTATTCCAGTTAGCAGGAGGTCCCTGCCTTTCCCAGGAGCTGAACAGGAAGTAAAGGTGGGTGAGATACCATTGGCCAAGAGGACACACTCAGGGAAGTCCAGTTTTACAAGCAAATGCCCTCTAGGAGCAGACGGCTGTGTGCAGATGGGATATTCCTGTAGGGGTTTTCTTAAACAAAAAGATGGGGACTAAAGCTTGCTGTGGAGTTGGGAGCACATTGATAACCAGGAGCGCACCAAAATCAGTACAGTTAACAGCCTTGGCAGTAAGACCATCTAGTTGGTCAGTGGAACCAGGCCCCAGAGCGTGTTTAGGCTGGGATATGATGATCGGAGACTCAGGTTGTGCGGCATTGGGAGGCATCCGCTCCACAGCTCACCGTGACTTGTGTTGTCCGGGCAGAGTTCCAGCTTTGTATTTTGCCGGTGGGAAAACAATTAAACCTCGAAAGCCTGCAGCTCCTAGTAGTGGCGGTTTTCTTGACCTGAAGTAACTGCGCCACATACTGCTCTGGGCTCGTACCGCACACGTGGGTGTTGGGTCTGTTTCTACAGGGCCTGTACCTTTTGCCCAGTACTTCCTGTGATGTCAGGACTGGACGGGGACAACTTTGAACCTGTTGCCCTCAAAAACCTGTCCCCCCCCCCTCCCCGGCTGTCTTGCAGGCCTAGCTCTCACTGAGGTGGCTGATCTCTGTCCGGGCTGGATCACTTCAGCCCTGGGGTGGGGTGGGGTCCATCAATGGCCTGCTATCCTGCAGAAACGAGATGGGAAGAGACCCGGGCTGTCTGGCCGGCTGCCACCTGGCCCTTCCCTTCTTGGATCAACCAGTGATCGGCCACTTTGCAGAAAAGGAAAGGGCAAGAGTTGGCGAAGTCATTTGAGTTGGCCTGCTTTCACCGCACCGTAGCTGTCAGCTGCCTTAACCTTCCCTATCTACAAAGAAACCTAGGGTATAAATGTATTTTTCTAAAACTGACAAACGCCTTTGGCCCGTTCGTTCCCAAGAAAAAGTTTCCTGTGCTCTGAATACTTAATGCAGCCAGGGGAAGGCTAGGCTCGGAACCTTTTCTCTCCCTGTCAGATTAAATTTGCGTGCAGAGAACTTACTGTAAGGAAAATGGCATCCAGTTACAAGAGTCCCCAGCTGTTGCCTGAAGACCAGGTGTGGCTTGACTACCTCAGTGAGAACTCGGCCTTGGAAGTGGGAGGGACAGTCCTCATAGGACGAGTGGACCACTTTAAAGAGAACATTCAGGTCACTTGAGGACCCACATTTTCATTGGTTTCCCTGTTCACATACTGTGAACCTAGCACAAAAAAAAAAATAGTCCTTGAGTCCTCCTGTTTCCACCTGCAGTAGAGAAACTGCTAGTTCTCTTTCCTCTGGTGTTTTGCACTGTGGTCACCCAGCCCTATTTGGAAAGTGGAAGAAACACTTCCCTCATGTCCTGAAATCCTATGCAAAGAGACTAGCTGTTCCTTCTGGTTCTGTGGGCTGAATTGCAGCTGAGAAAGCAACAGACGTCCTGTACTGTACTGACTAATAATAACCCGTCCTAGGGCAGTCAGGCACAAGGGCAGATCTTTGGGCCAGAAGGTTTTTTGGGGGAAGGGTTGTGGATCATGATAAAAACAGCTGCTAGGGGCTACAGAGGAACAGAAGAAACGACAGCCCCGGGGAAAAGAAGCTGTGATAGCTAGGCCCTTTATCAGCAGACCTTCAGTCTCAGAAGAAGCACGGATGGCAGTCATCCTCCAGATGATTTGTCCTGTTCCCCCAGTTTCGCTTGCTTTCAGGTTCGTGGGGGCTTTGACTTCCAGACTGCGATGTCTGAAGCAGCAGCTCCTTCGTTTGCCTCAACTTGGTACCAGGGCACGAGCGGTACATGGGGGCATGTAGTCTCACGTCTTAGGACCAAGGGTGTTCTCCCTCTCTAGTGCAAGCTAGGCACACTGGTTATTTGCTTGGAAGGCTTTGGTTACCCCCATCTCCCCTCCCCTCCCCCTCCAGTCGAGGAAGCAGCCAACCCGACCAGGCAGGAAGCCCTACAGAGGTGAACGCCAAGAAGCCAAGGTAAAAAGCTGCTTAGAATGGCAAGGGGCGTGGGAAACCTTCCTTCTTTCCCCCTTCTCAGTTGGGGAATGCAGGTGTGGGCAAAACCTGTTTTTTCTTTTTTTGGGTGGGGGCATGAAAAATAGAAGAGCTTCTGGATTGCGATGACTTACATGCATAATGCATACCCATAAATGCAGCGTTCTCATATTCCTTCCCCCTTTAAGACGCTTTAAAACATAGGTTCCTCTGTAGAAGTCCCAGGAGATCTAGCAAGCAGCCACGGTTGACTAGCAGACAACACGGCTTGCGTGCTTGACACCTTGTGCACTGAATCCTTGACATTGCCCACTAAGAGTCCACAGAAAGCCCCTTTCCACGGAAAAGTTGTTGCTAGTCAAAGAAGCAGTACTGGGCTAGATATATTGTATACGAGGCAGTATATAAATGTTTTAAGTAAATACTCTTAAGCACCTCTGCTTATTTAAAACATACCGCCTTTCCACCCAAAAAACATCCCCAAGCAGCGGCCATGTGTATTTTACTTTATTTAAATCATTTATATGTTGCCTTTTCCCCTAAATAGGGTTCCCGAGCTAGGCTAAGGTTGTGGGAAACTCGTGCAGTTTCCTGTGAAGTTTATTGAGAGACGTTGGGCCAGTCCCCCTGTTTTCAGTTGAACCTATCTGACTGGGTTTTTAGGGTACAGTGGGGGAGTTAGCAAACCAGGTAGACAGTTGTAAGGGAAAATGGTTGGGTGATAGCTGGGTCCTTGGTTTAAACTCTACAAGGCAGTTTTATATATTGGAAGACCAGGAAGTGCATTTTTCCCTATGTCAGCTTAAAGCGGATTCCATTTAAAAACCAGAGTGGATGAACAGCAAAGGACAAGTGTGTGTTTGTCTGTAACCAGATTTTTCCCTAGAAGGCAGTCAGTTTCCTTGGTGAAAATGAATTTCAGTAGGATTCAGTTGTGAATTTTGCTAAGATCCATTTGCGCACTTGTTCCTTGTGACCGCAGCTAGCTGCTGGGTCATGTCAAGTGACTATAGCAAAGAATTCTTAATTGCAGGAAGAGGCTGTCAGCCATCAGTTAACCTGTTCTTAGAAAATTAATACGTACACGCAGTCACCTCCTCTGGTAGTCTGGGCACAGGCCCGCGATTCTGCACGCTCTACTGTCAACGGATTAAAAATACTGGCTGTTAATTACTGCAGGTGTCCCTAACGTGGTGCCCACGGGCACCATACCTCCCACCAGCACCTTTCCTGGTGCCCGAGTGCTTTGAGAAAGTGGGTGGGGCTAGATGGGGCTTTTGCTTAGCAGAACTTCTGATTGGCTGTGTA